TGGATGCTGCCAAGTGGGGGTGCTATCAGTCACGTGACTATGCTCCATCGGCAACAGCAAACAGATGGCTCAACAGGACAGCATGGCAGTAGGCTTGTTGGTTTGTTACTCTGTTATTCGTATGTATATGTAATAGGTTATAGTAAGCAATAGAAAGAAGGGGAAAATAGCATCTTCTTCACACGTATACCAGATGTGACAGCAGGCGAGGGGTAGTGTATTGTGGTATGGTGCCATGTAGTAAGGTGAGGGGCGAGGTGAGTATACACATACACACACACATATATATATATATATGTAAGTAAGTAATATAACAATGGTAGTAGTGGTGATGATAGTAGTAGTAGTAGTAGTGATGGCTGGTGTGGGATGAAGATATGTAATACTACTAATCCATGTACCGTGTGGTATGCAATACGTGCTATCGATAGTACTTAGCAGCAAACTCCAAAAATGCAACGCAAATCTTGGCATCCCACCCACCACTCGACGGGCGCATCCCATTGTCGACCTCGCACCCGCCCCGCCCCCCTCACACACTCCGCACGCCAAATTCGCAGCGACAACCACCATGCCTGGCGCAAAGACCACCCTGCTCATCGAGGGCTCCTTCGACGAGCTTACCGATGAGTTCGCACAATACATCGACAGCCTCAAAAAATCCCAGGGCGATGACAGCGCCGCCCTCCAGGCCGAGACGGCCGAGCTGCTCAAGGATAACAAAAAAGATGAAGTGCTCAAAAAGCTCGTCGTCGCCAGCCAGGCCCTCAACCAGGCGCCAGAGAAGGGTATGCCGCGCCCCGCACCGCACTGCTCTTGACTTGCCTCGCACAAAGCGCCCGTCTAACCATGAGTGCGCAGAGTTCATTGCCGCATACAATCTGCTCATCCACCTCGTAAACCAGTCGCCCAATGTCTCCATGTTCCTGCCCAAGATGTGCCAGAATCTCAGCGCCCCCATCTCGTCGTCGCCCTACAACGGCGGCGGCCTCGCCCTGTCCATCCTAAGCACCATCTTCAACACAATACAGCCCACCAGCGAGGCCCGTTACCAGGTCCTGCTCGCCATTCTCCGTGTCATCCGCGCCACCTCCAACTTTGAGACGTTGCGCCCCCAGCTCAAGCACCTCGACACCTGGCTCCTTGAGTGGAAGACACCCGACGACGACGCCCGTAAGCTCTACCTGGCCGTCAGCGATGTCGCCGCCGACGCTGGTGAGACGGAGCAGGCATATACATATCTGTTACGCGCACTGCGCACCTTTTCCTCAGACCAGGCCTCGTCGCCCGATGCCCGTGACCTCTCGCTCCGTGCGCTCAAGTCGGCACTCACCCACCCCCACCACTTTGACTTCCAGGACCTCACCGACCTCGACTCAATCCAGGCCCTGCGCAACTCGGACCCCGTCTACTTCCAGCTACTTGAGATCTTCAACTCAGACCTACTCGACGACTTCAACGACTTCAAGGACGAGCATGACGGCTGGGTCGAAGAGTCTGGCCTTGACGGAACCGCCCTTAACCGCAAGATGCGCCTGCTCACCCTTGCCTCTATGGCCGCCTCGGCCGGCCAGACACGGTCGCTTCCCTACGACAAGATTGCAAAAGGCCTACAGGTGCCCCTGGAAGACGTGGAAATGTGGGTCATTGACGTGATTCGTGCCGGCCTCGTCGAGGGCAAGCTCAGCCAGCTTAACCAGACGTTCCTCATCCACCGCTCCACATACCGAGTCTTTGGCGACAACCAGTGGCGGGAGGTGGCTTCAAGATTAGACCTGTGGCGCAACAGTCTGCAGGGTGTCTTGCAGGTCATCCAGCAGGAGAAACAGAGGTTCCTCCAGGAAAAGGAGGATGAGGCCAACAAGGCTGACCAAAAGGCTGACATGGCCTCGAGGTTTGGCGGCCGGGGCGGCCAGCGGAAGCAGCAGAGGGCTATTGATGAGGATTTGGACTAAGCAAAACGTGGTGTCTTAGGCAGGCGTGTGTTTGTTTCTTTGGCAAAAACAGGAGCGTGGGCTAGGGACGGCATTAGATGCATTACAAAGCCAGGCTTTTCCACCTTTATGAATCGCAGCCTTGGAGCTGCGCAGGATAGATATTGCAATTCACATATATTGACTCTCCATCTTTGTCTACTACGTCCAATTACCAAGCTTGTGTCTGCGTAATCTAGCGGCTGATGGGCTCCACACCGCGCTCCTTGAGTTTTGCCTGCACATCCCTGTACACGGCATCGGGTTCCTGCTCAGCATTGACCTTGACGACCCTGCCCTGAGATTCGAACTCGTTCACCACCGGCATGCTCGTCTCGACAAAAGTCCTGAACCGCTTCCTAATGCTCTCTGGGTTGTCGTCTGCCCGGCCCGAAGTCTCGCCCCGGTGCAGAAGTCGCTTCTCCATGACACCCTCGGAGCACTCGAAAAAGAGGGTAAACTTGGACGGGCACACCGCACGCTCAAATGCATGGGCCTGGTCAAGCTTGCGTGGGAATCCTATAATCATTGAAACAAATTTGGTGAGAAACGTGGACCGATATTGCACGAGTACAAGAGCGCAACTTGGGGACTGGAATTGTACCTACCATCAATCAAAAACAGCTTCTTGTCGTTCTCGCCACTCTCCATGCTACTCCGCATGGCGTTCTCGAGCAGCTTTACCGTCACCTCCATAGGTACAATAGTACCTTCCTTGATGTACGTCTTGATCATCTCGCCAAACTGGCTGCCTTCTCGATCCTGCTCCTCGCGCAGCAGGTCACCAGCAGAAAGATGCTTGAAACCGTAGTCGTTGACGAGCTTCTGGCACTGCGTGCCCTTTCCAGCACCAGGACCACCGAGGACAAAGAGCACTGTTACATCGTCCTTGGACCACAGAGGAGAGGTACGCGCGCCAATATCGGTCTGTTCAATGGCAGGCATCTTCGCTATGTTTGTCTGACTGGCTAATGAGGATGCGAAGGCCGTACTTGTCCCTTACCACTTGGTGAATGGCCTTGAATGGGTCCTTTTGGTTGGTAGCCTTCACCCTTGCGGTCGTCGACTATCTTCTTGAACAAAAATGTGCCTGTTGCGAAGATGGCAACAATGGGCCAGACCTTGAGGGGCGACTTGGATGACGGGGCAGAGATGTGGGCTGGAGGCTCGTTGGGGCCTGTGGGTTCGCCTGGCTGGCGGAGGCGGGATGCGTACGGTCGGGAGGTGCTCAAGGCACGGCTGGCAAGGAATTGAGGTTGGCGGAAGAGGATACGTGGGCGGAAGAGTGAACAAGACATGGTGTTTGACGGGGGCGGTATGATAGCACGGGCGATTGAGGTGCAGCTGCTGTTTTCATTAATCCCGAGCGGGGCTAGCGTCGGCGTGCGATCCAGTTCTCAAAGTGGGGGGCGTCCAGGCTGGCAACCCTTAACTCCACTTTACCTCACCGTCAATATACTTACGGGCGGCATGTTTGATTGAGCACTCGCTCCGAATTGATTAAATTTACTGGGTTCGACTAACCTACCTTACACAACTAACCCGAACCAAAACAGCTCAACACCTGTGACTCTCTGTCTCTCTCTCTCACGTAGACACGTCCTAGATGTCGCCAGTCACAACAATATCGCCTAGTCTCTACTCTCGTGCCCATAGACCCGCAATCTATCCACCAAAGCAGCTGCGGGGTTTCTTGGTCCTACCAGGCGAAATCAGAAACCAAATCTACAAGTACTACTTCGACCGGGAGCATCACCGTGAAGTAGCCGCAAAAGGCAGTCAGTTCAAACAACGGAAACCCCAGACGATCAAGCTATGCTTGGGAATCTCTTCTCAGCAAGAGGGGGCTCTTCTCCCTGGTTCAGAATCTGACAATTCTTTTGCTCCGTCCGTTGTGCGCTTCTCCAGATCATTGGGTAAGTATATTATGGTACATGGCCTACAGACCAACTGGCTCAGCTCGCTGTACGCCCTAAGTCTGGTATGCAAACAGGTCCACCTGGAGACGACCAAATTTCTCTACTGCAAAACTGTCTTCATATTCGATGCGCCGAAGCGAATGAATAGCTTCTTCGGCGTCGTGTCAAGCACCAATCTGCAAAATATAACAAAGTTGCATCTCCAGTACAACACATATGGACATCCTCAGCGGACCGATCATCAAGTCTGGCAGGACAAGCACACGCAGAGTTGGTGAGTGGGATACAATACTGCGATTGCCTCAAGATATGTTTTTTCCTTCTTCCTTTTCCCGTTCTTTTTCTCTCTCCGAGCATTTTGTGCAACGACTGTACGAAATAACTTACCAACCATGTTTCTCTGTCGTTTCTCTAGGTCCAAAGCATGCAAGACGGCCTCGAAGAAACTCATCAATCTTCAACAGCTACAAATTTGGGTTCAGCTTCACAATAGTGCCCCAAAGTTTAGTTTGCGAGAGAAATGGATAAAGCCACTGTTGCAGTTTCGCAGACTGACGTGTGGAAAGACACGTACGAATGACCACGTTGGAAATGCCGTATTGCTTGAAACAGTCACAATCCACATCCAGACTCGCTGGTCCAAGGAACCACTGGCGGTGTTTTTGAACAACCAGCGTCTGGCGCGGGCAAGCATGGAGTTACATGTACTGTATGGCCAAGCCGTCAGTCTGGCAATCAAGGGGGCCAGGGAAGAAGAAGCCATGGCCGCTTTCAATGCTGCGTGGGAAGGAAAGTACAAGCATTGGAAGCATCACCTTCAATTTGCTCCGACTGGCTGGTAAAGTGGGAAACTTCTCGATGGAAGCTGTAGTCAGCTACACGGGGGATCCCCATGGTTGTCTCAAGGAAAAGGTTTACAAAACGGAGGGCTGGACTTGTCACGATTCCACATAACGTTATCAATGCAAATGCGAAACCCAAATTACTGATGCGCAGTCACGTTGTAGAATGGTTTGCTGCATGTGGTCTGGAGAAAGGGTATTTGGTGAAGATCAAACAACGATAGACCGCGTGTATGATTGTGTATTCTTGGGTGTAGCCGGCGAGATTATGCACTCGGTTTCTCTCTTGCAGCCTCGTCATCCACCTTGTCTGCCTCCTTTGCCACGTCTTGCTCATCCACCTCTGGTGGAAAGTCCCCAGGCACGATGCCAAAGACACCAACCTCGCTCCTGCCCATGCCACCGCCACTCTTGTCTGTCTCGTCGCTCTCCTTGAGCACAAAAGTGCCCGGCTGCTTCTTCATGGCCTCTTCGTCAAAGTCAAACACACGGTAGTCGGCATTGAAAAACATGCGGTTACATATGGCGGTGCGCAGGAAGCCAGAGTGCGAAACTACAGCAATCACCTTTTCCGGTCGTGAATACAGATCCTCAAGGCATCGTTGGCCGCGCGCTACAATGGCCTTTTCGGTAAAAGCATACGGGTTCTTGGGGCCGTTTGTCGTCTTGTCTGGAAATGAGGGGTCGACGACGGAGAAGTCGTACTGCGGGAACTCCTTGGAAATGACGTCGAGGGGGGTCCCCGTATCGCAGGGCTTGTCTGCGTTTTCTTGCCAGTTTGCGTCGGGAATGACTGTGATGAGGCTCTATTAGTCATTACTCGCTCTGGTTCACCATTCCCCAATGCTCGTCTTACCCTTTGTGCCCTTTTTGATGAGCCAGTCGAGTCCAATGGTGGCGGTTTGGAGCGTTCTTCTTTGTGCACTCACGACAATGAGCTCAATTTGGTTACCAATTTCGGTCTGCTTCAGATGCTCGTGCAGCTCGCGGCATTGCTGTTCACCGAGCTCGGTTAGTGGAGGGTCACGTATCGACCAGTCGTTGGTAGCGTTGTGCTGGGCCTGGGCGTGGCGGATGAGGACAAGCTTTGGGGCCATGGTGAGCAGACTGCAGACGAATTGCGAGTATGGGGCCTGGATGCAAGCGGATATGGGCGACGCAGCAATGTTATAAAGGAACGCCAGGGCGGATTGTTGTTGAGATGAGTTTGCAATGACGCGCTAGTGGGGCCGACGTACCTGCATCTCGATGACGCGGGTGCTGCTAACTGTCACTCCACAAGTGGAAGGGCAAGACGAAGCGAAGCACAGCATGGGAAGCAAGCGGGCCGCATGCATACATGGCCGCAATGCTTTGCTAGTGTGAATCTTGTTCATTGATCGTTAAGGCTTGTGCAAAAGCCGCTCGTTACGCATCGTCAGGGTCTGTACTTTTATCCACTGGCTCGACTCGAGCAGCCATTCATTTACTCTTCCATCTTCTCCTCCTCGTCGTCATCATCATCATCCCCCTCGAGCGCCTTCTTTGCAAGCCTCTCAGCCTCTTCCCGAATGTCCTTGGGCACTTCCTCATGTCTACCCTTGGTCGGTCCGTCGAGATTGCTGATCCACGTCATCTCAAGCTCAAATTCCTTGTCCTTGTTGTCATCGTGTGCGACGTAGATGATGCGCGCTGCCTCCTTGACGCCTTCTTCTAATGAAAGCTGGCCCTCGTGCAGATTCAACTTCTCGAGCTCCGACTTTGCAACCTGGCGGCCCTTGCCTGTAGCTGCACCGTAGTATCCCTGGACCGATTAGTCATTGTATACATATTGTCTAGTCGTTTTGCGTACCCAGTAGAGGCCACTCGGCTCAATCATGTAGAGAGATGGGCCGCCGTGCTTGGCGCCCTCTCTCTTGCCTCCCGAGCCAACAGAAGGACCCGAGCCAACTTGTCCGTCGACGGGCAACTCGGCCTCGGAATCCCAGCCGGCAATAATGGCCGTTATGCCGAATGGCCGTACACTCGAGTAAAGCGTGTATGCCTGAACGTAGCTTCCCATGCGGTCGGCGAGAGACGAGGAAGGAATGGGGGCCTTGTAGAGCTGCCGCCATTGCGCCGCCTCGTCACGGGCTCGGGAGACGAAGTGGCGACCGTCGGGGAGGAGACCAGAAGACACGACGCCCATGTTGCGGTCGACGGTTGCTATGCGCTTGTTGGCGCCAGGCTTGATCAGCTTGCTGCTGACAAGCTTCTCGAGAGCGAGCACGACACCATCCTTGCACCTGATGCCCAGAGCTGTGCCGCCGTTCTCTACCGCCTTGACTGCATACTCGACCTGGAAATTGCGACCGTCGGGCGAGAAGACCGAGTTGGACAGGTCATAGCCTGTGCCTATTGACGTCTGCAGCAATGTCAGTTTGCCTCCTGGGTGCGTGTCGAGCGGGCGGGGGGCTGTTTACCATGGTGGAGGAAGTGGGTGGTTATGACGGTCGTGTGTAATTGGTGTCGTGTTCAAGTCGTGCTCAAACAGCCACTCTGCTTGTGCAGTGGGTACAATTCGAGTGCTGGATTGGACGATGTCGGGAGCTGTGCTTGCCCGGTGGTGTTGGTGATGCTTGTAGTACCAGGCAATAGGCAATAGGCAATGGTGTATCTGCGCAAGCTCCAACAGCTCACCACTAGCGTGCCAAGGAGACCCCCGGCCCCGACACGCTACCTACATAGTCCTCACTATAAGAGCAGAGCAGCACAGCCAGGGCCAACGTATTAGTGTCTAGTGTACGTTGCAACCACTTCTGCATATATATATATATATATAGTCGCCCTGCTGAGTTAGCTAGTGCACATGCTTGTGCCATTCTGACATGACTGTAGCGACCAGGTACGTACGTACGGCGGTGCAAAGTCACGTGCAGGCCGTGCTTTGATCCCCGGCTTCTTCCGCCGGAACCCCTCCAATGGCGGGCGAGTGGGCGACGTCGAGCGGTGCATACGCCTGTAAAGACGTGATGAGTTGTCGCCCCAAACCGACGACTATTCACAGGCTTCAGATGCACTCGATTGGCTGTCTACCGGCTAGCCGAACAGGTTGGGTTTCAACGCGTCGACACTAATTGGACTGTGGGCGACAAATTTCCCAGAATCATCCCGCCTTCACGCATGACCCGACAGCGCGCTACACTGGACGGTATGTACTTAAGGGACCACGGCCACCACCACGTTGCTGCCAACTGCTCCCCCCTTGCTTTCCCTCCCTCCCTTGACTGCTGAACCGACTCGAGTTTGTTGATCTGGATCTTGTTCCTGTGTTTGTTTCCCACTCACGCGCCTACTGTGCCAGTACTCATCAGCGCCCAACGCTCACGCTCAAGAACTGCGGCTTGACACAACACACAGCCTAGCAACAGACATCAGGGTCCGTTGTTTACTTCCTTTCCACTTGTCCACTAGCTTGTTCCGCCTACTCCTCACTCCTTCGCTCCATCTCCATTGCTCAACTGCCGTTTTCTACACCATTACCCCTCCTCAGATCCCGACTTGCTCTCGAAACCCCGACACAGAGATGCAACCAATGCTCCTTCACCACTGCTCTTGCTCCTACGACACGCCTGTCTCGTTCAGTCCTTTTGCTTTTTCCCAAAACATCTCTTGCTCTCACGTAAGCCGCCAACGCTCTGGCACTTACAATCAACATCCACTAACCCTACGTCATAGTGTGGCGTAATTTCCACCGGCATCAACGTGCAGCCCAAGGCTGAACAAGACGCAAACATGCAGCAAGACGAGCTGACTAGGCTGTTCTCGGCCAACATGACCCTTTCACAAACCCAAGTGCAACCACCTCTCCTCGAGCCAGTACAGCAACCAGAGCCAGAGCCCGCCCCAAAGAACATCGTCTACGCTTCACAGCATTACACACACTCGCATCATGTCCCTCTTCGCAGTGCTTCAGAGCCGAGTCTGAAGACGCAAATCAACGAGTCGGATCTGGAAGCTGTACTTCTGAGAAACAGCATAGATCCCTCTCTGCTCTTTCCTTCTCAGATTGATCTCTTCAAGAACGCAGACGACGACCAGCGCCTGCGTCTCCTCGAGCTATGGCGCATCTCGCCCCCCTCAGGACGCCAGGGACACCCAGCAGGCACTGACTACAACATGTCGAGGCAGCTTTACGACTGGCCCCCTACCAGCCTGGCGCAAGAAGAAGCAATGGCCAAGCTAAGATATGAGAGGCAGCAAGCCGAGGATGCTGCTCAGCAGAACGCAATGCAGCAGCAAGAATCAGAGCAGGCCATGGCCGCAGCAAACGCCGAACCATACATGTCTTCAGGTTATGAGATGATGGCAATGCGCGAGTATGAAGAGTCGGCACGAGCTCAGCAGGCTCTCAAGGAGGCCAACAGATACAACCAAGCCACTGATCCGGTATACAATACTGGCAATGGCCTCTGGCAGAAGCACGTGGGAAGCGTCATCGACATGGAGAACAATTACGGAGCGTATGCATATGCACGTGAGTATGGTTTACGCGGTGGCTATGGAGACGAAGAGATGGTCATGTGATGTATAGCAGTCTTGGTTGATTGCAGTCTCATGGCGCGTGGAAAGCTTGGGTAAATTGGTAGGGCATTTTGTTACACAGGCGATGCATACTTGCACACACAGCATTCTTATGTTAGTTTGTTGGGCGTGCACACATACACGCATACATGGTATGTACTTGGCGGGTTATGAAAGAGATAGATTTCGTCAGAAGGATACCCAATCAGCAGTTGTTTTTTTTTCATCTTGATCAGACTTCGAGCCAACTTTAGCCCATGTGTTGTTGCGCTAATGGAATGGATTGGATTCATACATTGTACATATGGGTGTTGAAAAAAAAAGATTTGAAGCTGCCCACGAACACTCAAACACGGACAGACTTATTTTGCCTTGCCACTCGGCCACTTCTTCCAGCCCCTGCCATGTCCCTTTTGCTTCCATTCCTGAATCAAGGCAGGCATGTTCAGCATAGCCTGTCGCCTCATCTCTAGGCGGCCCTTGAGCGTTCGTTCCCACAGCTTTCCCTTGACCTTTTGTCCCTCGCCCGTGCCCTTGACTTGCAAACCCCTATCCACCCTCTGTCGCTCCTTCTCACCCGGCTTTTTGATGGTCCATGGTAGTAGATCGACAACACCGTGCTCAGAAGCAAGCTTCACCAGGTCGGCCTGCTTGCGCAGTCCATAGGCGGGGCTCTGCCATCGTCCGGTTGCGAAGTTCTTGTGTGGGAGGAAAGGGTTTGGGTAGGGAAGTTTGTGCGCTTCTGGCGGTATGTTTGAGTTTTGGGGTGCGCTCGAGGGTATTGGAGTGTTATTTGGTGCCGCCATCTCGCTAATTGAGGCATTGGGGTCGGTGGGCGGGGTGGTTGATGTTGTGTTGGCTGCCGGTTGCGATGGATTTGGAAGTGGGGATGCGAGGTAAGGGAACAACGCAGGCGGAGGGTACTTTTGGAAGAAGCGCAGCAGGCGCGGCGGCAATGATTTTGCAATTTCAACCGTCTTTGGGGCGCTCATCTTGTGTGGATTGCGTGTTTGCGATCAAGATACGGGCATGCAGGCGTGGAGATCAAAAGTTCCCAGTGCCAAGGCGGGTTTAAGCTGCGAAGTAGCCTTGCCTTGTCCTAGGGTGGAGCTTGCTCGCGCCGCCGCGTACTGAGCTGCTACCTGGGTGCATCACAACCACTGCCAACACCAACTTTGCTTGATTCTAGATTTACGGCCGAATACAAATCCCCTGCTCTTCTTGCTGCAGCTATCTCTGCTGTCTCGCCAGATATCACATCACTCCTGCAGCCATGGTAAGCTCCCCGCATTCGTCGGGACATGGACACAGCTAATCGCAATAGTCGTCGCCATTCTCCATAAGTACGCTTCTTATACAACCGCAATACCACATGCCCATCTAACAATTCCAATAGACGGCGGCGCCTGCGTGGCAATGGTGGGCAAGGACTGCGTGGCCATTGCCTGCGACCTCCGCCTCGGCATGCAGGCCCTCACCGTGTCCAACAACTTCCCTAAGATCTTCCAATACGGCGACGTTTTCCTTGGGCTGACGGGTCTCGCCACCGATGTTTCGACCGTATCCGACTTGTTTCGTTACAAGGTCAACATGTACCGTCTTCGCGAAGAACGCAACATCAGCCCACAGACCATGGCCAACCTCGTCAGCTCAAGTCTGTACGAGAGGCGCTTTGGCCCATACTTCATCAGCCCGGTGATTGCAGGTATCAACCAGACGAGCGGGAAGCCTTTCATCTGCGGTTTCGACAGCATTGGGTGCATCGACTTTGCAAAGGACTTCATCGTAAGCGGAACAGCGAGCGACCAGCTGTTTGGAACATGTGAGGGGCTGTGGGAGCCAGATCTGGTGGGTTCTTCAGCGCCACTCTTGCCCTGAATCATGTATTAATGTTCAATCTAGGGCCCAGAGGACCTGTTCGAGACCATTTCACAGGCGCTACTCAACGCCGTCGACCGTGACGCACTTTCCGGTTGGGGCGCACACGTTTACATTATCGAAAAGGACAAGGTGACGAAGCGGTTACTCAAGGGCAGGCAGGATTGAGAGGGTGCGTAGCATATGATGGCATACAAATGATCTTATGAGCTATGACGCACGCCAGAGGAGCACCAGAGGTAGGGCCAAGGACTGTGACTGGAAGATGTGAGACTGCATGCACGGATAGTAATTGCACTCTCTCAGTTGCTTTCATCTCGTATTAGTGGAAGAACAGAGATAGCTCCGTAATCAACAAGGTGTCTCCAGTAGACGAAGTCACAAGGCAGCGTGACCCTGACTACGAAGCTGGAGTATAGAGTGACAAGCTATGAGTGAATGCCATTGGGTCTGAGTAACTGTTTTGCCATGCTCTTCGTCACATCCACATCACAGGCGGGCCTTGTGGCTCCCGATGAGGGCGGGTCTTATCGATAGCGAGGACACGTGATTGGGCGCTTGGTCTAGTACGTGTGTACGATAGTAGTTAAGGTGGCCGAGCAGGTGGCAACGCTACAACAGCAGTGGCAGCAGCAAAGCAGCAAGCTGGCAGTTCGAGTATGAAGAGGTAGGCTCCAATGAACTGTTGCAGGACGAATAAGAGTATTCAGATATGGTTTCGAAGAGAAAAACTGAAATACATGACAAGATCGAGAATCGTGGTTATAAGAGGAGCATCCTTGATCTGAATTGTTCTCAGCTAAGCTAGTTGGTATGCTTACTATTACTGCCTCTCGAATATCAATGTACTTTCTTAGAAAAAGTAGCCCAGGGTTTATTTTCACATATAATATATATGTGATAACTATGTTTATTGATGCTGATATGTTTGTACATTGTGTTTTGAGTGGTGCAACTGAACATGTTCATGACATGTTCCTTTTCCATAATATCACATCTATGCTTCGCTCAATGTCGCTACTCGCACCCCCTTGACAATCAAGTGACGAGAAAGAAGAATAAAAGAAATAGCTTACCACCCCACATCCCTACAAGCCTTCCTAGGCTCTGACTTGAAATTACAATATGAGTATATAATCGAATCGACCAGAAATACAAGAAAACTCGGACGACGGTGTCTAGGGGTATATGTATACATGAGTCCATACATTTCCATCTTTTGATCTGTTCCCATAAACGCCAGTTCAGAGCATGCAAAAACAACAACAGAAAAAAAAATCATTCAATGTTGAACTTGTCCATTTCCAAATCAATCCAACTCGCCCTCTTGACCCGGCGCCTCTTACTGCGCCGCTCTGTAGCCTCATCACGCGTCTCCCACCCATCCTGATCGGCTCTGTTAGATGCCTGCAGCTCAGGATGCGTCAGGTTAGAATTGAGACGGCGCGGGTCCACAAAATCAGGGTACTGTTGGTTGCCAAAGTCGTACATGAGCGGGCTGCTTGTGGGCCCGTTGGCGCGGCGCGCAGTGTCTGGGCGGTTGGCACTGGTGTTGGTGCTACTTGACTTCTCTAGGGTGAGGGTGTTGCGGCGCTCGAGGGTGCATGTCCCGGTACAATTCACGTTTTGGAAGTTGGAGCTGTTGTTGCGATGGTTGGCGTATGCGGCAGGGCTGGAGAAGGGATTGGCATTGAGACTAGGGTCAGATTCTGTGCGATCGCGCACAAGCTGGATCAGTTTGCCGAGAACAGCGAATTCCAGTTTTAACTTGACAGAGTATACGACACCCTTGAGCGTTGTCTGGATAAGATATTGATTTGCAAATTCCATGGATAGCAGAGCGAGATCTAGGATGATGATCAAGACGTTGATGGCGAGAAGCTGGTACATTGTTTTCCGGACACTGGCCTGCCTGAGCTGGCCAATGTTGGCGCCGTCATCAAAGCTGCGCGTATCGCCTTGGACGGACTGGGAGAGCCTGAGCAGCCTGATTGTCTCTTTGATGTAGATGATGGACAAGATTGTCTCCTGCAAAAAGAAGCCCAACATCTGTGTCTTTTCCATGATAGAGTAGGCGCGGACGAAGCGGGCCAAGGTAGCGGGCGAGAGGGTATTCGAGTTTGAGCCAAAGGTCAGAACCGTGGTGATCGAGTGCAGTAGAATGCCATTGCAGATGATCATGTACAGAGTCCAGCGGAGGGTGCGGCGCGAGTTGGTGACGAGGTGCAGGCGCGACCACAAGACGACGGATTGACCTGCATGCAACGTTGAGTGTCAGTCTCGATGCAGGTTCTCTACTTGGTGGTGGCCGCGCGAAGCGGCAGCATACATACCCGTGACCATGGTATACCAGCCGATGGTGAGAAAAACAATGGCCACATATCCGACATTAGCGTTTGGGTCGAGCAGACGGAAGAACTTGATGATGAAGCCCAGTGAATATGGTATGATGCCAAAGGCGCTGATGACGAGCGACCAGAAGTAAAGTCCATGGTAGTGCTGGAAGGTGACAAAGGCGAGGATGATGAGCTCAAGGGCATTGTAGAGGGCGAGGCCTAGAAAGAAGGCAATGATGATTTTGAGAGGAACCGAGTTGCCCGTGTAGCCTGTGGTACCGTGGTAAGGTTGGAGTTTGTGGCTTGGTAGCGAAGGGACTGACCTCCAGTTATGCCCGCACCGGCGGACTCGAGCGAGCCCTGTGCCGGTGTCGTCTCGGCGGCAAGAGCAGCAGACGTTGCACTGGCCGGTAGGGAGCGGGAGAGGGAAAGGGAAAGGGAGAGGGAGAGCGAAGCCATGGCGAGGCTTCAACTCACCCAACACCGACGCTTCTTGGTCAATCCAACATTGATGACGGCAACAATAACAACAACAATGTCAGCAAGACGACAGTCAGTCAGAGGCGGCGGATGGCACGCCACGAGCGAAGAACAGACCCACGTCAATGCGTCCGACATGGCTACGGCTGATGGGGGCGCGAACGAGGGCAAAGCAAAACGGGCCGTTTGGAAGTGGACTTGCTTAAGGACAAGCCCTGTTGGTGAAGTGAACAGGGCGGGGATGTGTGCCGAGCACGAGCATAGGCATACGTAAGTCGGTGCATGCATGGGAGTTAAGTAGTACTGAATACACTACCTATACTATGTATCATTAGTTAAACACATAACGGTATACTAATGTACCGTGTATGTATGCATCTCATCTGCCCTTGATTCGCGGGCAAAGCTGCCCAACCCGACCAAGCCAGACATTGCCCCCCTCAGTCTAGCCGTTTGGAGACTAGCGCAGTAGAGTCCGGGGTAGATCCACTCTGCCATTGTCATTGTGATTGCAATCGGCTCGGCCATCCAAAGCTTGTCACCACCCACCACTTCCCCGTGCCACCATCACGCGACATGCCATTTGTTGCGCATACGCATCCACACTCAAACACAAGCACTCCATACCCCACTACATGAAAAGGGGTCATTGCCTTTGTCCCTGCGTCTCCATCCCTTCATCTCTATGTGATGTGCCTGCTCGCCATCTCACCCTTCTTGTTGCCTTTTTGCTGCGCTAACGGGTGGTTGCGCAACTCTTCAGGCAATCTGCTGATCTCGCTCTTTGAGATAATCTTCTTGAGCTCGTAGAGCACTTCGGCGTCTGCTTTGCCCCAGAAGGTAATTGCTACACCATGCTTGTCCGCTCCCAGACGACCCGTACGACCAATGCGGTGTGTGTAAGCTTCGATGGTTGACGCCATAGTGAAATTGACCACCAAAGATACGCCGTCAATGTCGAGACCACGACCCGCCAAATCAGTCGCAACCATGACGCTCGACTTTCCAGACTTGAGCGACGCAAGCGCTGCTTCACGTTGTTCCTGCGTCTTTGACCCATGCAGCGTCGTCGCTGAGAATCCCATCCGCTGAATGTCGCGAGCCAGGGCATCGCAGCCGCGCTTGTTGTTGTTGAAGACAATGATGGGCGGTTTGAACTGGCCAGACGTGAGAATCTCCTGTAGCCGTCTCTTCCGATTGTCTTCTCCCTCGATCAACTCTGCTCGCTGAATAACCGTGTCAGTCGCCTCGTTCTGGTTGCCCACCGTCACCATGGCAGGACGACGCAGGTACTGTGTCGCAATCCGTTCAAGCGCCGGCGCCATAGTGGCCGTGTACATCATCGTCTGACGGTACATGCCCCTCCGCATGACATCGCCATCTTCGGCGCTATTGTCGTCGGGCTTCTCATTGTTGACGGGCAGCGCCTCGAGAATCTTGTTGACTGGCTCTTCGAAACCCATGTCAATCATCTTGTCTGCCTCGTCCATGATGACATAGGTGCATTGGTTGAGAACCAGCAAGTGTCGCTCAAGGCAGTCTACCAGACGACCGGGCGTGGCAATGACGACTTCAGCACCGTCACGCATCTGGAATGCTTGCTCTTCAATCTGATGACCACCAACAAGGACTGCAGTATTGAAGCCTAGTGGCGCCGCAAACTTGCGCGTCTCCGCCTCGATTTGCTGTGCCAATTCACGCGTTGGAGCCAGGATGAGGGCATAAGGGCCGTCGTTGAGATTGGCTGCCGTCAGACGAGGCAGCTGCATGATGTAGGCCAGTAGTGGCAGGACAAAGGCAGCAGTCTTACCCGAACCGGTCCTGGCCACGCCAATGAGGTCGCGACATTGCAGAGCAATGGGTATGGCCGCACGTTGGATAGGCGAAGGCTCCACGTACCCAACCTGGTCGATAATGTGCATGAGCTCGTCTGGCAGCCCTGACTCGCCCCAGTTGCGCATGGGATTCGGTATTGCGCCTCCCTTGGTCGTAATGCCGAACTCCTCTTTGAAGATGCGCCAATCGCGTTCACGCATGTACTCCAGCCTCTTCTCACTCCAGTGCTTGTCGAGTTGCGCGCGGCCACCCTGTTGTTGCCGCCGCCTGTCCATCTCTAATAGTTGCTGTGCTCTCTCTTGACCGTGCACGGGATCCTCTTTGGCAATCATCTGAGCATACATCTGTGTTGCCTTGGTCTTGACATCGTCATGAAAACCACCTTGTATGCCCCGACCAACGATCCTACCATTGGCGCTTGATTGGGGGATGAGTTGGGATTGATGAGATGTGTCTTCTGAGGAATCCCACTCGAAATTGAACTTCTTCTCCGTAGTCCTCTGGCGTTTCTTAACGGCCGAAAACGTCGACTTGTTTGCTTCGGGGCCCAGGTAACGCTCTCGAATCATAATGGCTTCTATGTCCTCGGCGGGTCGCTTGCTCTTTCGATTCTCGGATGGTGGTGGCGGTGGTGGCGCCATGTCACCTCTGCGATCTCGCATAGACGACGGCTCGGTGGGCGCGTCTCGCATCACTCGTGGGCCTGCAGGTATGGATGGTGCGCCGTTCTGTGAAGACCCATCCTGTGAGGGCTTCCATATTCGGTCGTCGCCGCTGCTGGTCTCTCGCCTCTTTTGTGCCTCTTCCACTTCCTTCTTGCGCTTTTCGAGCGCGATCCGTTCCCGCTCAGCCTTTGGAATGTATCGCGGTTTTGCGGAGGCGGCTTGCTTCTCACGGTGGTCTCGTAGAATGTCGTCAACGCTTGGAGGCTGCTTGCGTGGTGTAGCAGAAGGCGCCATCGTGTTGGTGGTGGTGGTGATGATGATTTATGAATGTGTAAAATGTGACGTTAAAGTTACTGAAGTTTCGAGGTCAGTTTGGGGAACTTAAGTATGCTCTGTGTACGCTAGTACCATCAATTACGGAAATCGCACCCATAGTTAAGGGAAATTGTGCTTATAGGTATAGAAAATCGCGCCTATGGATCAGGGGATTGCGCCCATGGGTGAAGGGAGTCGCGGTTGTACTTATCTAGATAGGGATAGGAAACGGAAGGGCCGCTCGGTTGGAGCTCCGTTTTGTAAGGTAGTAGCGTCCGGGTCACGTGATAGTCACGTAATATGCTGGATCGACCAGTAGTTAGCTGTCCTGCTGCCTTCATATAATAGTATTATATTTAGTTGTCGTACCTAATAGAGGTTTGCCTGATAGGCATAGCAGGAATTCGGTCTATAAAAGTATAAGGTAAGGTTGAGTGTTTGAATCTCTTGGAGATCCAGCCTATATACTGTTGGCGCTAAGCTACTATACACATGGGAAAGTACCGCCACATTGGTGGTGACTCCTGGAATACTGAGAATTGCACCTTCTCATAAATTCGTCCGACTGTGAGTGACGGGAGTTGCGCCATGGTATTACACGGGGTGTGGATGCTTACGGTACGTATGATCCTTCAAGACTAATTAAGAGTGCATACCGTTCTACTTTGCTTTTTTTGCAAATACATTATGAAATGGAGTTATTGAAGTTGCCGCAAAACTTTCCCGAAAAGTATTACACACAGACGTGACTAGCCTACAAACTTCATAAAAGAACCATCTTTTGTTTCCTCCAACGATTGAGCTCTCTTCTTCCAGTCAATCAGGAAGGCTTCTGGATATTTCCGGGTCCTCGCCTTTTCAGAAAGTGTAGGATGCATCTTTAACACCGCGCGGGCAGCTTGAAGATACACTTCCTCAAAGTTTGACCAAACTAGTTTCTCCTTCTCACCCGATGTGGCTGGGTTTGGAAAGTAAGGATCGTTCCCCGTGACCGCTGTGACCATTCGTCCCCGAGCTTTCTTCCAGTCATTGAAGTCGAGCTTACTAGTTTTGTCAAAGTCCAGCATCCATAGATGAGTCGGACGCCGAGCCATGTTTCTAACAGGAACGCTAAAGGGGTTGATCTTCTCGAAGTTTTTGATAAGAGGAAAAACTTCCAAATCATTGGCGACACTTCCTAAAACAAATTCCATGTCCATACCATCGAGCCCACTCTCCAGTGTATGATAGCCAGCCCAATCGCCATTTCTCGAGAGAATTGTGCTATATCCAAACCTATCTCTTCCATCTGGTCTAGATGTAGCGGGAAGTTTTGTAGAGTTTCAGCAGGGTGCTTCAACTCGTGATCGGTTCGCCTCATTCCAAGGTATGGTCGGATCAAGCAAGTCCTATTGCTAGGATCTCTTAGGGAGATATCTTGGAACTCCCTGGGAAAATACTTTCTGATAAGTGCTGTGCGTGTGGCTTCCGGAAGCGGCAAGATGCGCTCCACGTAAAACAAGAATCCAATCTCGTTGTCATCATCAGGGAACTGTGATCTGTTGATGTACCACCACTTTTCCAACTCTTCATCGTGCACCCATCCATGAACTTGTGGCACAAGAGGGATCGAGGAACCTGGGAAAATACTCTCCAAATATACCTTCATTTCCATAACAGCCCGGCTTGCTTCGTGTGTGATATTGGCATCGACCCAGAGTCCGTATTTATCCGAGCCCTTTTTGATCGCAATCTTGCTTCCAGCAACCTCGAAAACTGTACCACATGTCCCCCTCCCAATAACTGCAAAGACGGATTGATTCGAAGCCTCTAGCTTTTCTATGGGATTAGCAAAACCGCAAGAACTGGATACAGCAATTTGTGGACTGAGAGTGCGACGCAGTATCTCATGTATGCTTTCCTCGGAGGAATTGCTTTCATTTATAACCATGAGTACTTGTGAGGGTGTCCAAGAATATAAAAGCTTTCTGTGCAAGTTGAAAAGGGGAAGGTAAGCGTGAACTGAGCGAAGTATTAAGGCCTAAGAAGTTCACAAATTGTTGAAGAACTCTTATAACGAATGCGGAACATATCCACAGTGCTTGCTGTTGGGTCCTGCACAATACTGCAACTTCAATTCCACGAGAACAACAACCCATGGTTGAAGTTTTATGAGTCATGTGTAGGAGCCGTACCACACTGTAACCTCCTAGTTATGTTTATGTCTTATGGTTTTATCCAAACGATAACCTCGCACTGCTTGTATGACTCAACTGGAGCTCTGCCATGCTGCCAATGACGAACAGCACAGCCAGGCACGCAATACCGGCTCTTTCTCTCAATATTCAAGATTGTGCTTCACACTTGGCTAGACTATGCATCTGTTGGTCTACTCCGGAATCTCAGCAACGCTTCCGTGGATTGTCAAATGCAAAGGGGGAAGTCTACTGGATCTTGATAAGTCTCATTCACCTATCACGAAGGAGGTAAGCAAGCTGGTTACGAGGGCATGTAAGACTAAGGGCATCATAACCCAGACCTTTAATTTCTCTTCTACTGCTAGAGATTTTACTATGGTTAGCGCTCTCTATTCTCTCTAGCCGAACCGCTTATCGAACAACGCAACCCGTTTTGAAAAAAGAATATGTATCAACTCCATTGCTCCCACAAAGCGGGCAGGTGGGATTTCCATCGAAGGAGCAAGTTGTTTTGTTGATATCTCTTAGTTCAAAAAAATGTCATTCTTTTTTGACTGCCCCCTCAATTGTTGCAGGCAGCGTGGTTAAAACATAGAAATTGTAACCTGCAGCCAGAGTAACCGGAACACCTGCCCAATAGAAGATAGGGCTATCGAAGACGGAGGGTAGGTCATGCACCCACATCGAATACGGCCAGAATGTACACAAGGTGCCAATGACGTTGACTCCAGCAAGTACGCGACTGGTTCCGGTACGGCAGCCTCTCTGCAGCCAATAGGGGCCTGGCCCGATGGCCATGACGACGTTGGTAAGCATGGTCCAGTACAGCCAGGCCTCGGGACCGATCAAGTAGATGGGTACGTTGACAATGGTGTAAAATACCAAGAGGAGGAAGGTGTTTAGTACAAGAGCTCGACGAAGCTGTCTTGGATTGTGCCTCGGGCTAAATAGTCCCTCATGCTCCACAGTCAACGTACGGTGGATACAGTAGACCTCTAGCAATGTCCAGACTATGAGACCTATGACCTTGGACATGACGTAAGAGTGGTAGTTGTACTTGCGTGCCTCGCACGCGAAATGGTACGCAAAAGAGCTATCGTGCGCTAGATAGAAAAGATGCATCCAGAGTGGGAAAGGGCTTTTCTTATCTCTGAGCGTAAGGTGGACTGCGTAGAAGTATTGGGTCATGCCGACTGCCGTTGCGATTGTGAACCCCAATGAAGACGAACCATTTGCAGCATCCCTCGCATCGAGGGCAATCGTGTAGCCTATGAAGTCTGCATCTCCCGGTTTAAAATTTAGCGAGGACGTAGTAGAATTGGCCGCGCTGACAAGGGAGTCCATTTCGTAGATGTGTATCTGTGTTTGCGTGGGTAAGTATTTGTAACGACGCGCAAACGCCAGATGAGGGCTTTTTGCTTATTTATATGTCATGATTGATGCGCGTTAGATTCATCACAACTATTCATTTTTGTCCGCGAAGACCGAGGATTGGATAATAGGCGAATCGGCTTCTCGGCTGTTGGGCAGTGCCGGGCTGCCAAGATACCAATTTGTATAATAGCTACCATGCGATATGAATCATTACGTGATTATATGACCCTTGGTCCGTGATTTAAGGTCTGTGATTTAAGGTCCGATATAATATACCGAAGACTATCCTATAGTCTGTAGCGTAGCGCGTCTCCATTTGAAATTAGATCCTGCAACTGACCTCGTCTCGTTCTAGACAAAAGTTCCAACATATTCTTGTTTTCGAGCTCAAAGAAACTATCTGGTAAGAGCGAATGTGTAACAGTCTCAAGGACCATGTGAGGATATTTGAAGTTGCCGTCTTATAGTATTACTGTTATCACATTATTATTATTCCATTATAGTCCTGTATCAGTCGTTGACTATGTAGGACTTTGGCCAAAGGCCGTTCTATCTAACTAGTTACAATTTAGTACGTTGTGCTGTATTGCGTAACTATAGTGCTTCGGCCTTTGTCTAGTTAAGCTAGTACTAGCTTTTTAGACGCCTAGTGCTAAAGAGCAGTTTGGTAACAGGGAGAGATGTAGGGCAGCTAGGCTGCCTTCCAGCGGGCTCTCTTAGGAGGTAGGAAATAGCACTAGTTAACAGAATCAACTTTATTCTTCTTTTATTTTTCTTCTTTTCTTATTGTTTTTCTTGTTTTTCTTCTTTCTAGCCTTCTTGGCCAAGGTGCCACTTTCTTGTTCCTATCCTCGTGCTAGTAATGAAAGCTAAGGTAGCTTCTATACCGCTCGTAGTATGGAGTAGAAGTGGGAGTTTAAGTATTTTCTAGTCTAGAGTCTTTTTAAGCTGGTTTCTTTCTGCGCTATAGAAGCCGCAGTATAGAAGTAAATGGTCTGCTGTTTGTGGTCTCCCGCATCTGCAAAGCTCGCATTCTCTTTTCTTTACTCTCTTTAGGTAGGAGTTGAAGTATCCGTGTCCTATCTTAAGAGAGTAGAAAGAGCTTGAAATGTCTCTTTTCGTGCCTCTTGGG